CTTCTGGTTAGCAGTCAAGTGCTTTAGCCACTATGCTACCAGAGCATAGGCTTATCAAAAGTTCCTTTTTCCACTGTTGGTCACTGGGCAGCAAAGCACAACTGCTGTGATGAGGAAACCACCCCCCCCACATACCCCGAGCAGCATCCCTTGATGCCATTCCATCCCAATTCAGGCAGGACATTGACCAAGACTCCAAAATCTTGACATTCACTTCTGGCTGATTCTCAGCAGTGCTGTATATGGCAGTCTGCATCATTAAAGTTGATGAGCCCCTCCAGTGTGGCTTATTCTGGCAAGGAAGGGGTTGTTGGGACAGGTCTGAGTTTAAACACTACCCAGTGGGATTACTCACTCCCTTTGCTATCTGAAATTTTGTTCCCCTGAATACCATCACTTTGGGGAATGACTGCTTGTCTTAGAACAGCTTAATTCTGGCTGTAGTCTAGTTGATACAACAGCCACACTTTGGCTCTCAGGCCCATTGCTTGACATCCCTTGTACCTGCTCTACCTCACGTTTTCCATCTGACTGAAAGGCAGAAAAAGTAAGGCTTAGTGGGCAAGGGCAACTACTTCCTGTCCCTCATTATCAAAGATGGCTTCTTTGAAGTGGCAGATTGGAGAATGTTCCAGAACTTTTAGGAACTAAAGGGAAAAGTAGTTCGTGAAGTTGGACTTGAAGAATGAGATCTGGTGAACTTGGCCTACTCCAAAGCCCCAGAAGGGTAAGTTTCTAATGTAACCAGCTTTCTCAGGCCAGGGCAGTTCTGCCCCATTAACCTTGGTCTGTTGGTACAGTGCCTAAGGCATGTGACTGCTAACCAGAAGTTTGGCAGTTCAAACCCACTACCTGCCCCCTGGAAGGAAGATGGCTGTGAGTTGGAATCCATGTGATGGCTGTGGGTATGGTCTTTTTGGTCGTGTCCTCTATGGACTGACCTTCAGGGCATCTTTTAGTCTGGAGAAGACTGAGGCCTGAGGAGGCCTCTGGAATGCTCCCTGGTTGAGGTGGGGTGAAGTTGGGGGTGGTATGTAGCAGCTTGGTCCCACATGAGAGATAATTACAGTTGACCTTAAATCCTTGCCTTTAAATGCCTTTCTGGAAGCCAGTGAAAGGAAGAGAGAGTTCCTGCAAAGGCCTTCGTAATGCTCTGCCATGGTTACTGGAGAGCAGGGATGAAGGAAAATAACACACCTCTGCATCTACGTTCTGTCTTGGGTCTCCCATCCATCAGCCTTTAGGAGATGGAGATTATGGCATGGAAATGAGTATACAAGTTCATCAGTCTATCCGGTCTTTCCCTTTCAGAGTTAGTGGAGACACAGTTGAGAAGAGGAAGAAGCAAAGAGCCTCAGGAGGTGGTCATACCTCCCAGAGAAGAGGAGGGTGTTTGTGGAGCATGCAATTGAGGAAATCTTTCTGAACGCCCATTGTGTGACTACTCCACCTAGAAACATTAGACAAGAGGCTTTGGGTTGAGAATTAAGATAGTTTATTGTTTGACCAACATGCTGAGTCTTTTCCACGTTTTACACAGTTTTATGTAAAATCAATATGGCCGCTACTGCCTTCTGAGCCAGTAAGAGATGGAAATGCCACCCTCTGTGCTCCTCACGGCCAATCACTCATGGGGGTGGTGAGGGAAAAGTGAGGGGAGAAGGTGACACACACCACGAGATGCAGGCTGGCCTTCGGTGCTATGGAGGCTTCCCACCTCCTGAAGGAACTACCCAAACCTCCATGCAAGGTTTTCCTGATAAACCACACCTTGCTGGGAGTGTCAGCCACCTAGGGGTCTGGAGTCCAGAGAGTCTGCATATCCCAAGGTTTTAGAATACCTACATAGTTCGTTTCCAACAAAAATTCAAAGGGTGCCCTGGCCTGTGTGGGTATCCAAAACAATTCTATTGGACTTGGGGACAGGCCATTCTTTCAGGTGGAGAAGCTCACAATTCACCTAGATTCTCCCCCAGCTGACACAGATAGGCCGGGAAGAATCTTACATCCTAACCACAGAATAGAGACGGCTTGGGGAACATCCATGCACAGCAGTCTGTTATGCATAAGGATACTGTCACACTCGTGCACAAACAGGTCAGCAATGGATGAAGAACACTTTGGTTCTGGTCACTTCCAACCCGGGCGGTGATTGTGAGCAAGCCACCCTTTCCTGTATTGGTTTCCTGCCTGTGAAACAGGACCTTTGCGTCACACTGGTGTAGTAAGGTGACAGTCCCTCACTACTTTGGGAAGAGGTAGTTTG